ACGCGCAGCAGGGAGGGAGTACTGAAAGGTGTGCGTTTGAATTCTCAAACTTGCAGATGGAATTTAGGAAACCTTTCTTTTCATGGGTGAACCTGGGTCTTATATGAAAGAAGAAAGACAATTTCCTGTTGAAAGGCAGCTGAAGGGAAAAGCCGTGCTTCAAAGAACTTGTAATTGCCTGTTTTGCAGGCACAAGAGGAAAAGCGTGGTGCAGGTGTCCCCAAAGTCTCGCCCCTTCACGGGAGTGCAGACAGGATATTGCTCATCGCTCGGCTTCCCAGAGGCTTTGTCGTCTTTTTTCTTTTTTAACTAAAATCTGTTTTTTTCCATCATTGGACTTGTCCAGCAGTTGATTTTCAAATGCATTGACTCTAACTGGTACAAGTTTTGGAGGACTGGGAATGTCTTCTTACTTAACGGTGTTTACTGCTACCCCAGGTCCCATGGCTCCCACAACCCTTTTGCTCCCTGTGCTGCTGTTTTCATAAATTAGTGTGCGTCTACCTTGGAAATCATGCTTTATTTTTCCTCTTCTATCAGCAGAAAAGGGCTCGGGGCTGTTTGTAGAGCAACCTGGAGGGGAGAAAGCTGCCATCGAAGTCCTTAATGGCACAGCTGCACCAGACAAACAAAATATCATGCAAAAATAATCCTTCCCAGTACAGATAGGACTTATTTTCAAGGAAAACAGCCCAAGACTTATTATTAAACATGTCTGTCTTTTAAAAAAAAAAACTGGGTAAGAGAATAAGCCTAAAAGGTCTAAATGTCTGCATAATGCCACCCTGCCAAGGCGACAGGGCTGTTGGCAGCAGAATAAGCAGTTGCAAAGCATGAGGAAGAGTCTGGAGCGGGTGGGAGGCAGTCGCTATCTTCCACCCCTAAATTAACGCCGTGGCTCCTGATTGCCAAGCACAATTAATTGCTGTGTTCTGCAGAAGCCCGTTCTCCTTCCAGCCGCAGCAGCAGCCAGGGCCGGGGCCTTTCACACACCTTTCGTGGGTTGGTTTTGTTTTTTTTCCACGGGTGAGAACATAGCTTCTGTGATTATGTTTGGAGAGAGAAATGTTTTGTGGCATGTGAAAATGAGCATTCCCTTATGACTAACGTGCTCTGACTCAGTACTATTGCACAGCCTCTTCTTTTCATTCAACAACTTTCCCTCGGAGGCTTTTTTTTTCCCCTTCAAATCTGTTGACTTCTTTAAAGAAAAAAGCCAGGTCAGACCCCTGTAGGTTCAAGCTCTTCTTAAAGCAGCAGAAGAGAGGACGTAGCTCGGGATGGGAACCACTGATGCCACCCACGCCTGTGAACTGGGGTCCGTGGGCCAGGGAGAAGTGCCTGCAGGTAGGAAAACCTTCTTGGTCACTACCAGGCTTTGAGAAATGCTTAAACCTGGTGGGGTTTTTTGGTCTGCATTTAATATTTTTCATCGGTTTGCTCTACTGCAGAGGAGAATTACTATAGCAGAATAAAAAGCAGGTTCTTAAATAATTTTAGGAGGGGATAGAGGGAAAATTGAAGTGTTCTGAAAGGAGGAAAAGAGTTATAAAATGTTTTGCCAACTGGCAGAGACGCAGCTTTTGGGAAGCCTGGGCACATCTGATGAGCGCTGGCAGAGCTCTGTTTCGATTGCCCTTCTAGCGTTTCTTTGCATGGTATTTTAAGCAGCTGCGATTCCTCCTTGGTCGGGCTTTAGGCACATTTCTGAATGCCGTAAAATGTTTCTGCTGCTGGAATATAAAGGCGCTTCTCTGGGAGCAAGGGGCCTGGAGGGTGCAAATTATAATCTGATGCTTCAAGGGGCTTGTGTTGGCCTTCACAGCGGTCGGTCCAAGCAGAACAGGACTTCTGGATCCATCCCAGAAAGTTAATTGAATTGCACGTACTTTTGGACAAGACACGACTGCTTAAATCGCTTTACTGCGGCTTTTTGAGTGCTCGGAGATTAATTTTAGCCCGTGTACAAACTGAAGCCCAGCTCGGTGCAAGCAGAGAGCGCCTGGAGAGCCAGGATGAGTGAGAAAGCATCTACTGTGTCCCCCCTAAATGCAAACAGGACAGAAAGACCCCATTCTGCTCATCAGATAACCAGCAAAAACCCTGGCATGGCATTTTCTCCCATGGATCTGCTGAATAATTGGTTATAGGAGCTGGCGGGGATGCTTTAGCATTTCCTTACCCAATTTTCTGGGTTTCTTTTGCCTTTTGAGATGCTGGAGCAGGGCTCTAGGAAAGGGCTTTTTCTGCTTTGCGATCTGGGGGTGGTTGTTCCCAGGCTGCTGTTCCCGTGCCGTAAAAGCAGAACCTGCATCGCGGCAGGTCGGGCTTGCAGGGTTATTTTGACGGCAACTCAGCTTTTGGGAGTTGCGTTTATTGCTCGTCTTTTTTTTCCTTAAGAAAAACAACACAGTGTGGGTGTGAAAACCCAGAGGACGGTGACTTCTTACCCTCAAACGTTTAGAAAATGAGGCTCTAGCAAAATAGATGCATTTGAATATTTATAATATTAGCAAGTGGGCTGGTAAGACCGGACAAAGCTCAATGCGGCTTCTCCATCCCTGTGCTATTGGGAGGCACTGAGAGGTTTCCCTGCTCCTCCTGCCTTTTTGAAATGGGCCTTGGAGATGGTTTTTTTAACCCCTTGAGCTGTTTTGTGCTTGAGATTAACTCACTGTGTTGTGTTGTTCCCAAGCCTTCTCCAGAGGATCAAAATTGGGATTTAATGATTGGAAAAACCCCTTGCTAGCCAGGCATTCATTCCTGCACTTCCCAGCTGACTTCCTCCAGCAGGTCTGGGACATTATTTAAAGGGTAAATAAAAGCTGTTGGGACACACATGCAATTTTGCTTTTAAACCTCCCTAACACAACAGATGTCTTGTGCCAGCCTGTGAGCCAAGGCTTATGTTCGGCATTGTCACCTGCAGGTGTCCCATTGTACCTGCTCGGGGTGTGAATGCCCTTCTGTGTGGTTTTGCTAGCACGTTTTTAGGGTGTGAAACGCCTTCTGCTCCGCCTGGGTTTCCCCAGAGCTCTGAGGTAGGGACAGACCCTCCTTCCCTGACTGCATCCCAAGGATGGAGCACCAGCAGCCCTGGCTTCCTGCCACGTCGAGATGGAAATGAGCACGTACGCTGCACCACAATAGATGCTTTTGCTGGGAAATACCCGACTCTCTAGTTTTTAATTACTTTTTTAGTGTAGCTCTGCTTTTTTCCCCCTTTTTTCCAGTTCTCCTTTCCCTAATCTTTGGGAATTTGTGTGTTATCTGCTGCGTAATGCAGTTTGCTGGCAGCGGCAGCGCTCGTGTCAAAGCGTTTGGGTTTCAGCCTTTCTGTGTCATAACATTGACTCTGAGAAGGATTTCTGACACAGGGAAACGTGCTGAGCATCTGTTAGGATAATCACTGTAAGTTTAATTTTGACGTGGTTTCTGCCGCAGATTGACAGCCCCTCGGATTTTCTGAAGCTGCTTCATCAGGGAACCTGACAAAAGTGGAGAGTAATGCTGTCAAACGTAATTTTTCTGAGCATGAATTAGTTGTCATGGCAAGCTTTTCTCCTCCGCCGTCTGTTATTCCCATGGCTCTTCAGCTTGGTGTATGCCGGGATGGGAAAACCCTGGGTTTAGCTGGGGAAGAGGGTTTGCATCACTGGAAGCTGGTTTATTCCTGATAGGTAACTTCAATTCCTTCCAGCTGTATGTTCTGCAATACTAAGGGTTTGGTAGAAATAAGATACTAGATACTTGTATTTAAGTATGTTGGGTGAAAAGCCATGTCTTGTCTTCCCTCTTGAGGAGCGGGTTTGGTTCCTGGGCTCACTCAGGTGGGATTTGTCCCATGGACTGTGCTGATCCATGTCCCGTTATCCCAATTGATCCTCGTGGCATTGGGGGAAACTTACACCAAGTGGTGTAAGAGCTGAGAGCTTGCCCTGTTTTGGGTCCTGCCATGCTAGGAAAAGATTAAAAAGGAATTTATTATTGCAGTTTCTGGAAAAGAAAGTCCCTGTGTTATCCTCATGAGTTTTATTGGTTTGATCTATCAATGCGGGTATAATCACAGAGCAGTTGCACCCCTTGGTCTTCACTTTGCAGCACTAGAAGGAAAAATCATCCCTGCTGTCCCCAGAACAGGTTGGCTGCTTCCTAGGAAATAAGGTCCAGGGATTTGTTTTGCAGCAACGGGCACGGGTTTAACTGCACCCCGTGGCAACCGGCCCAATTGGACTCAGGCGCTCGTTAAGATGGATTTATTTCATGATGTATTTCTGTCATCGACACATTACCTTCTGCTTCAGATGTTCTGAATAGCTGGAGATACAATATTTGATATTCCAGCCTTTCATCAGCAGTAAATCCTGTGGGAGTTCTTCTTTCCTCACCTGCTGTCAGGAAGAGCTGTGTGCAAGTATTTAATAAGATTTAAAAAAAGGGAATGTTAAGCGAGAATGGGACTGGGATTTTTTCCTCCCTGCTTGAGGTGAAGTAGATTTGCTGGCAAAACTGGTTTCGCAGGGGAGGAGGGGCTGCAGAGCTGTCCTTTGGATCCTGTCTAGCCTTGGGTTGCTCTCAATTCAGTGGGGATCCCTTTCCCCATTGCTGCCCAAACCAAGCGGGGCAGCGGTGCAGCAGCGCGATGCCTCCTCGTGCCCAGCAAGGGAGCAGAGGGTGAAGAGGCTGCAATTCCTCCATGGGTTTGGTTTTTTGCTCTCTCCAGTACTGTCTGTAGGTGACAGTAGGGCTGAAAGCGGTGAGAAATTAGGTGGGAAAATGCTGTGTCAATGGAGAATGGCTTGTTCCTAAACCCTGCGCAGCCTCCTTCAAAGCTTCGCAAAAACCACGTCCTCAACTCGGGGTTCGCTGTGGTAGAGCTTGACATAAACCCTTGGTGCAACACGTGCAGCTTGCAGACGCGTTTCTGACGCTGTTCATTTTCTTTGTGACCTTACTGTTGTCTCTTTTCCCCTCCCTGTGAAGCTGTGAAGTGGGATGCCATGGCCAGCTCCTCGGACAGCGACGATGACGGGTTCATGGCCGTGGATCCGGAAGACGCCGTGGTGGAAGGGACGATGGAGCAAGACGAGGAGCCGCATGCAGAGCTGGAGGTCGAGGAGACCAGGCATAACAGATCGATGCTGGAGCTCCCAGAAGAGGTTTTGGAATATATCCTCTCCTTCCTCTCGCCATACCAGGAGCACAAAACAGCGGCCCTTGTCTGCAAACAGTGGTATCGACTGATCAAAGGTACAAACAGCTGTGGGGATGCTGCATTTTTTTTAATTGTGGGGTCGCAGATTCATATCCCAGCTGCTCTTTGCTTTGCTTTAGCCTCGCCTGTTGTTTTCCCTTCAAACTCAGACATTCACCTTCTGCAAAATGTGAGAAAATAGCTACAGCCGTCGAATTGCTGGCTTTGCTGAAGGCATTGCTAATAATAGTGCAGAATTGAGCTCTTCAGCCTTTTCTTTTTGTAGTTTATAAGACTGAAACCCCAAAACCTCCACAACAGAGCCACTCATGCTGCCTTTCGTTGCTCCCCATGCGCTGCTGACGTGCAGCGCTGTTGACCCCCGTTCAGGCTTCCTCTCCACCACACAGCAGGCCCCGTTGCTGCTGTCCCGTGTCTAATGCGGCTGTAATTGTGCTTCATTTGCGTCTTGCTCAGTAATTAACGTTCCCAAAGCTGCTGCTTTCGGCTGGAAACAAAACAGTGGCTGGTTCTTACAGCTCTGCTGAAGATAAGTGGTGTATAAAATCTACATTAATACAGATCTACATATTCAGACTTCCTCAAAGAGTAGCCCTGAGATACAGATACTTCTCTTTGCCTCCACGCAGCATTAATTCTGAAGCCTCATGGGGATATTTTAATGCTAGATATATACGGTATGGCAAATAGGTAAAATTTGGACAAGGATATGAGCAAAGCTTTGGTATTTTTTTTAATCTGTTGGGTGGTTTCTGTTATGTTTCTGTTGGGGGCACGCATTTTGATTGCAAGTTTCACTGAAAAACGCAGTCAAGGAGGAGACCGCAGTTAAATCTGTAGTAAATGAGTCGCGCTGCTGCACAGGGGTAACTTGTTTCTTCTGGAAAATGCGGAGCGAGTGTCAGGTGAGGAATGCCTCTGGCAGGCGTGTGGGGTGATGCCTCATTTGTGGACTTCTCTGCACACGTGAAGCATTGCTCAAATTCCAGGCATTTTCTGCCTTGCCCAGAGTTTACCGGGCTGGAGGTTGAAAAGAATGCAGCCACTTCAGAAGTGAGCATTGCACAAAATTACTCTTTTTGCATAATTTTGGGTCAGCAGCTCCTCACACCGCTGTTGAAAGCTTTTCAAGTGACCGCAGCCCTCGAGTTTCTGCTTAGGCGCGCTTTCTCACACGTGCTTCTTCCCAGAGCAGTCTTAAGAGGTGCAAAGGATGCAGCTGGAATGACCAAACACCTGATGATTCACCCCAAAAGAGCCTGTGGGAACCATCCCTGGAGGGGAGGGATGAGCAGCCCAAGGCGCAGCGTGGCATTGCCGTGCGTTGTCCGTGTCTCATGGGATGAGCCGTGCTGGGAGCTGTGCCTTTTTTTGCAGCACTTCTAGCAAAAAAAAAGGGAATGTGATTGCTAACTTGCAAAGCAGAGAGGTCACTTGAGGTAAATGCTTGAGTTGTTTTCTTCTGCTTAATTTTTCCTGTTTGTCAGGATACATCTGCTATGAAATCCTATCGTTGGATTACATTTCCCAGGGACCAGCTGCTTGAGGACCCTGGGCTTCATTTTATTTTTTTTTTTTTAATTTCCTTCTCTAGATCCTGGAGTGTGATTTCTTGCTGGGGGTGTTCCTGGCGTGGGGCTTTCATTAGGCAAATTCTTAGGGGGGGAAATAAAATCTCTTGGCAGGTTGTGGCCTCCTCAGTACGAGGGCTGCTGTAGCACAGTGGATGCCAGCGAGCATCTGCTGAGCTGCCGCAGTTGTAAATCTTTACCAGACCCTTTTTTTTTTTCCTCAGGGAGCAGCCTCTGGCCCCTCTCTGCACAAACACAGACATATGTGCTCCATACACAGAATTAATCGCAGCTTTGGGGCTGGGCTGCTCTGCGGAGGAGCTGTTGTCGGTGAGATCTGCTCCCTCACACGACTGAGAAGGGATATTTTCACTTAAGACACACTGGCGTTTATCACTGGTGTCTCCTCTTGTATTTATTTTAGATTCCTGCCCAGTAGCTGCGTGCACGCTCCTAAAATTCATTATTGCTTGTTATCTGTCCTCCAAGGTCCATCAAGAGAAGGGCAGCGGCTCCTCTGGGAGTGTGATTAGGGGCAGTGGCCTTGTGTTGCAGCAGAGGAGGTGGAAAGCAGCTCTGCAAAGGCACCACACGTGCTTACCTCTCACAAAAGCTTTGCTTTACCAAGCTGGAGCTGACGGATATCGGAAATGTCGTGAATCAGTGCAGCAAGCGCTGCTGATTTTCCACATTTGCAGAGTCCCCGTTCTTTACTCTCTTTAATCCTCTGAATTTTCACTGGCGTATTTCTAATCTAAATACAAGGGCTCTTTATAATTGCTGTCACGCTGCTTGTGCAACTGTGCAGGCACGGTTTGTTCCTAACGTGCCCCAAATTTTGCTGACATCTTGTCTTTTTCTAGGTGTGGCCCATCAGTGTTATCACGGCTTTATCAAAGCGGTGCAAGAAGGAAATATTCAGTGGGAGAGCCGCACTTACCCCTACCCTGGCACCCCCATCACGCAACGCTTCTCGCACAGTAAGTAGCTGCTGGGAAAAGCTCTGCTCGCCCCAATTTGTGACGGGAAGCTGCAACCCAGGGGTTTGGGCTGCGTTGCTCAGGATCTTGCAGCACTGCACGTGCCCGTCACTGCGGCAGAGTTTCAACTGCTCGGTGCAACACGCAGCTCTGCCAGCACAAGCACTCTGCTCACGAAAGGGATTCAGTAGCTGCTTGTCGTGGTTATTGGCTCGTTGCTCCTAGGAAATGTTAACGGAGCTAACTTTTCCTTTCTGGTTTTGCAAATTTGACATGCAGGCTTATTTCTGCAGCTCCCCTTTGAGTCTGAGCTTTGTTTCCCCTTCGTTAGAAACCACACTCGGTCGTGACTTGAGTGTAGTGGCTCTCGAAGCCAAGGAGTTTGCATATCCGCAGCACTTGAGGATGTGTGCTGGCCGCTTTTACAGCGGATCATCGTCTGCATCTGTAAGCAGTACGATTTGCAGGAGGCTGTGTGGCTTGCTTCAAAATAGAACACAGAGCTGCACGTGAGCAGCAGGCACATCTCCTGATAGGAGCAAGCACTTCAGTCAACAACGTAGGGGTGAATTTTTGCCTTCCTTCCATGAGAACACAAAAAGTGTTCCCATCGAGGGAAAGCTACTTAAATAAAACCTGTTATTTGCACTGCAGTCGTGTCGAGCTGCCTCAGCCTGCTCTGCCAGGTGGCGTAGTGAAATAGGACAAAAAGTCAGTCCTGGTGGCTTTGTGGCTGCGTCCGAGCCCTCCAGGAGGCGGTTCTTCCAGGGACCAAATTTTCATTTTTTTTAAAGGTAAATAAACACGGTGTAAGGTGCGTGATTCCGAGAGCAAGCAGGCATAACATTTTCATATTCTCAGGTAATAATTTGTGAAGCAACCAATGCGCAGCCTCCTGCCAGGACAAGTCCAGGAGATGCTGTGGGAAGCTCTGGTGAGGTCATGGTGCTCTTCAAAGGCTTCCTCGTCCTCCTAAAGAATACAAAAGGCACCACGATTCGTGGCTCATTTTTAAGCAGCTGTGTTAATAAAGTGCTTATTAATGACTTGCAGATTTGCATGTGTTTTGCCCTCAATTTTTGCAACCTTTTTGCAGCTGGTGAGCTTTAAGTCTAGCTAGAAATTACCTGCAGAAAGCCCAAATATTGCCCCAAAGACTGCTGTATACTCTTTAATTTATTCTGCTGCCTACCCGGGGCTTCCTCTGAGCATGCCACTGTTACACTTGATTCAAAATGAGTTGTCTTACTAAAGCCACTGCCCTCGGAGCATGTAATCTGTATTAGCCTCACTATTTGACAGCGTCCTGGCTCTGGTCAGCCCTCAGCCGCTACAGAAGCGTTATTAATGCACTTTATGCGCAGAAAGCTAATCTGGATTAACTTGTTTGCTGACTTAAACTGATTTTTTTAAGCAGTTCTCCAGATCTGCGGTATCTGCTTTTCCTACAACAAAGCATTGCGTGTTTGTGGGTGGATTCCAATATTCAGCTGAAGCTCCAAATCCTTAAAAGCAAAAATTCAAATTGAATCTGTAAACCTACGACCTAAAATCCTGCGATGTAGTGAGCCACGGTGAAGTAAGAACAGGAGGTTTGGGGAATGAGGGAGGACTCAAAATCCCTTTATTTTTTTTGAAGGGTGAGTGATTTGCCGGGGTTTGTGGGAAGATGTCAGCTCCCAGGCACGAGCCATTTGAAGTCAACAGGCAGCGGGGGCTCCCCCTCTTCCAGGATTTATTAAAATATCCCAGAAGTGCTCGTACAGAGCATAAAAGGAGAAGCGGGAGAATCTTAACTAGTTAGAGGTCACGGTGTCTTCTATCAATTCTGAAGGGAGTAGCAGAAAACCGGTTTGATAAGGAATAATGAATGGAAGTTGCCGTCATCTGGTGGGGAGGGAGCGTTGGCCATGTCTTTGATGAGACAACCGATAACAAACCGTATGGATGGGCTGTGGGTTTTCAAAAGAATTCAACTGAAGCTGCAGAACATGATAGAATATCAACAGTGCTTTTAAAAAGATATATCAACTTACAGCAAGAAATACTTCATACGTATCTTTCTGAGCTGAACACCAGGCGCAGTGTTTGCAGTAGTCATCTCACTCTTTTTTTACCCCTAATGCATGAACCTACAGATGCCATAGCAGGACGATGACTCATGTGGTTAAATAGCTGCCCGCAATCAGAAAGCGATGTCAGAAGGCGCGGGAATGCAGAAACGGAAAAGCAGCAGAGGAAT